GCGGCCCTGGTGCCCCCCCCCCTCCTCCTGCCGCCCCAGTGCCAGCGGCTCCACCAGCTCCAGCTGCCCCCCCTGCAGCCAAAAAGCCTCCCAAGGGCAGCCCTGTCGCTGTGCCCCCTACTCCTGCCCCTGCTGCCCCAGTGCCAGCGGCTGCAGGCACCCCCTGCCCCTGGCAAGCCGGCTCCTGCCCCAGCCCCGGGGGTTCCTGGTGCCCCCCCAAAACCATCGGCGGTTCCTGGTGCCCCCCCAAAGCCATCGGCGGTTCCTAGTGCCCCCCCAAAGCCTGATCGTGCTGCCCCTGCTCCCCAGAAACCAGACGCAGGCCTTCCTCCCTCTGCCCCGGGGGGGAACCTCTCCCCATCCAGCACCCCCCCTGCAAAGAAGCAGCAGCCCCCTCCCGGTAAGGTCGCCAAACCGGCCCCCCCCTGCCCGTCCCCAACCAAACCCCCCTCGAAGGCCGCGGCCCCCGTCAGCGCCGCCATCATGGACGAGGACGACCTGCCGCCTCTCATCCCCCCCGAGCTGCCCGCTGCCGAGCCGCCGGTGCAGCCCATCCTGGTGGACCTCTCTCCCCGGGCTGCCGTGGCCCCCGCCGGGGTCCCTGCTCCTCCTCCTCCTCCTCCTCCTCCTCCGGCCAAGCCTCCTGGCCTGAAGAATGACAAGGGTATTTGCCACCGCGGTTTGCCGTGTGCATGGAGTGTCACTGGCTGCCCACCGGATACTAACCCGTAGACGGGGCCGCGGGCACCCCCCGCGTCACTCGGTGTGTGGGTCCGGGCACGTCGTCTGCGAAACTGCCGCGGCGGAGGCAGGCTGAGCCGTGCCAAACGGTGCCAAACCCGCCGGTGAGCCGGGGAACGGGGAAGGGGAGATGCCCCGTGGCCACGGGACCGGGCAGGTCAGGGCTCGGCGTGGGTCGGTGTCACTAACGCGTGTTGTGGGGCACGGAGCACGGTGTGGCTTGTGGCGCGGGCGCTGCGGTTGTTGCCTGAGCTTTCTTCACACACAGGCTCTGGGAAGAGCTGCCACGTGCCTGTTACCGTGTGGTGTGTGTGTTTGGTGTCCCCCCTGTGTGTCCCCGCCGGCGGAGGGGAGCTGTGGGCAGTGTTGGTGCCAAAACCAGCCCGTCCTCACGCTCCGGGGGGAAAATCCTTTGCCTGCCTGAAGGGTTGGGATCCCCCGGGCTCCTGCACGCTCAGTGGGGCAAGAGGCTCTTTCCAGAGAAGGAAACGGGACCGAATTCAGGTAATGGCTGCACGAGAGGGTGTCGTGGTCACTCTGTGGCCTCCTCCGAGCCTGGAGGCTCCGCGTGGTCGGAGTTGGCCGTGCCGTGGCTCGCAAGCTAATGGTGGCACTGCAGCGCTGGCGCAGGAGCCAACTGAGCCTCCCCGGCTCTGGCAGCTCTCAGGACCTGGCAAAGAGGCCACCCTGAGCATCCAAAATGCCATTCCCTGATGGGGGGTTTGAAGGTAATTGCAGGTCATCCCCCGTAGCGAGGTGCCAGGAAGGTGCAGCCTCCCCTCGGTGAATCGGGGCTGGTTTCGGTGCGTGTCTGAGCTCCTGCTGCCCATGCAGGTTCAAGGGGAGCCCAGGGAGTCCCCCTCAGCACTGGTTCCTGCTGATCCACCACCCAGGGAGTGCCACCCTGTGCTCGTCCCCGAGCTGGGTTGCCAGTGCCGTGCCTCAAACGGGGAGCGGGTCAGGCTGGGGGGGCACTGACTCCCCTGGGGGCACTGGGGGGACTTGGCGTTCAGAGCGAGACACCAGGCACCCGTGGGGGCTCTGGCATCCGGCCCCCACCACGGTCAGGGTGCTGGGAAGAGGCAATGGGACTGTTTAGTGTGAGGAAGAGGAGGATGAGGGGAGACCTCATCACTCTCTACAATTCCTTGAAAGGACACTGTAGAGAGGTTGGGGCTGGGCTCTTCCCACAGGTCATTAGTGACAGAAGGAGAGGGAACGGCTTCAAGCTCCAACAGGGGAGGTTTAGATTGAACATTAGGAAGGAATTTTTCACCCAAAGAGTGGTCGGGCGTTGGAAGAGGCTGCCCAGGGAGGGGGGGGAGTCCCCATCCCTGGCTGGGTTTTTGGGCCGTTTAGATGCAGTGCTGAGGGACATGGTGTAGGGGAGGACTTGGTAGAGTAGGGGAGATGGTTGGACTCGATGATCCCAAGGGTCTCTTCCAACCTGGACCATTCTATGATTCTTGTGCCACCCGCTGCTGCTGATGGCATTGGGGGTCGCAGGGTTAAAAAGAGCCCCTTCCACCAGATACTGCTTCACCACGGCGACTGGGAACTGCACTGGGAACCCCCAGCAGCAATGGCTACACCGAAGCCGCGTGGTTCTTGGATCTTGCTGTGTCCCCCCGACACATCTGAGCTGGAAAGAGTGACGTGTGTGTATTTCTGCAGGGTCCGGAACAGAGTCCGACAGCGATGAATCCGTACCAGAGCTCGAAGAGCAAGACTCTACACAGGCCACGACGCAGCAGGCACAGGTAAGGGCATGTCCCAGGGCACAGCAGGGTCCCTGCTGGTGCTTCCAACCTCGGGTTCCTCACGGGTCCCTCTTGTTTTCTCTCTTTGCAGCTTGCAGCAGCAGCTGAAATAGATGAAGAACCCGTTAGCAAAGCCAAACAGAGCCGGAGCGAAAAGAAAGCGCGGAAGGTGAGGTGGGATGGAGGATGGACCCAGCCCTTGCACAGCAAACAACCTGCCCGGGGCTGGCTGAGCTTTGCCTCGGGGTCCCCAAAGTGCTGGGGTTTTCACCCCATGACCCTGTTCAGGGTCCTGACCGTACCCCGGGACGGTACCAGCCGGGCGTTCGGGAGCTGCAGGAGGTCTGTGCAACATCCTGCCCCTGTCAGGCCCCCAGGCAGGGGGGTGTCCCCCCGTTTAGGGGCAAAATCTTGCCTCTGGAGGAGCTGGAGGTCATGCTGTGGGTGTCACCAATCCTGGGAGTAGAGCTGGTGTCGAGCTGAAAGGCCAGGAATGCTCTGCAGCAGGAAAATGCACATTTTAGGTTGCATGAGCACAGTGATCGTTGCACCCAGGGCTCTGGAGAGGGATGAGTGGACGTATCTTTTCAAGGGCTGGGCTGTCTCAGCGACTCCCCTTTCCCTCCCTTCACTTTTTCTCCTGTTTTTCAGGCAATGTCTAAACTGGGCCTTCGCCAGGTGACGGGAGTAACCAGAGTCACCATCCGGAAATCGAAGAACATCCTCTTTGTCATCACAAAGCCAGACGTGTACAAGAGCCCGGCGTCAGACACCTACATAGTCTTTGGTGAAGCGAAGGTGAGCTGACTGCGCGGTGCCTGGCAGCCCTTCATCCACGCTGGCCGCAGCGGGGCCGCGCCGCTGGGCTTCCTCCTCCCCACCCCTGCGCCGTGGCGGGTCCCCCCCAAGGGATCATAGAATCATAGAATGGTCCAGGTTGGAAGAGACCCTTGGGATCATCGAGTCCAACCATCTCCCTTACTCTACAAAGTCCTCCCCTACACCATGGCCCTCAGCACTGCATCTAAACAGCCCTTAAACACAGCCAGGGATGGGGACTTCACCCCCTCCCTGGGCAGCCTCTTCCAACGCCCGACCACTCTTTGGGTGAAAAATTCCTTCCTAATGTTCAATCTAAACCTCCCCTGTTGGAGCTTGAAGCCGTTCCCTCTCCTTCTGTCACTAATGACCTGTGAGAAGAGACCAGCACCAACCTCTCTACAGTGTCCTTTCACGGAGTTGTAGAGAGTGATGAGGTCTCCCCTCAGCCTCCTCTTCCTCACACTAAACAGTCCCAGCTCTTTCAATCACTCTTCATAAGATTTTATTCTCCAGCCCCCTCACCAGCTTCGTTGCCCTCCTCTGCCCTCGCTCCAGCACCTCCAGATCTCTCTTGGATTGAGGTGCCCAAAACTGGACACAACACTCGAGCTGTGGCCTCCCCAGTGCTGAGCACAGGGGCACAATCACCTCCCTACTTCTGCTGGTCACACTATTTTTGATACAAGCCAGGATGCCATTGGCTTTCTTGCCCCCCTGGGCACACTGTGGCTCATATTCAGCCGTTTGGCAACTCGAACCCCCAGGTCTCTTTCCTCCAGGCAGCTCCAGCCACACTTCCCCCAGCCCGTAGCGCTGCAGGGGGTTGGTGTGGCCCAAGTGCAGGACCTGGCACTTGCCCTTGTTGAAACTCATTGGCCCAGTGATCCAATCTATCTAGATCCTCTTGCAAAGCTTCCCTCTCCTCCTGGGAGTCACCACTCCTGCTTAACTTGGTGTCATCTGCAAACTTGCTGATGTTACACCTTATGTCCTTATCGAGATCGTCAATAAAGACGTTCAACAGAAATGGTTTAATGGACGTGGGGTCCGTGCCGAGGGCTGGGCTGTGGGGCAGAGCTGTGGGGGCTCTGAGCTTGTGCCCTGGCGTCCCGCTCTGCAGGGCTGGCCTCACATACGCTTCTTCCCTCCTCCAGATCGAAGACCTGTCCCAGCAGGCCCAGCTGGCAGCTGCCGAAAAGTTCAAAGTGCAAGGAGAAGCTGTTTCAAACATCCAAGAAAACACACAAACCCCCACCGTGCAGGAGGAGAGCGAGGAAGAGGAGGTAATGCCTTCCCCCAGCCTGTCTCTGCCGGGCTGGGGCGCAGATCTGCTGCGGTAACACGTGTCCTGTGAACAGCAGAGTTTGTTAAGAGCTGTAGTTTTCTTACCCTCATCCACATCTTTGCTGTGATGGCAAAGGGAGAGTGCAGGGTCCTCTCCCTGGAGGATCTGATCCTGGGCACTGCCAGGGACCGTCCCCAGGGCTGGGCAGTGCCCACTTTTGTCTCCCAGCTTCATCTGTGTGGCCTGAGTGGAGCTGCCCCAACCCAGACTCCAGGCACGTGTGGAGCTGAGGTGTATCCCGGGCTCTTGTCTCCTTTAGGTTGACGAAACCGGCGTGGAGGTGAAGGACATCGAGCTGGTGATGTCGCAGGCGAACGTGTCGCGAGCGAAGGCGGTCCGTGCCCTGAAGAACAACAGTAACGATATTGTAAATGCCATAATGGTGAGTGTCTGCCCCAGGGGGCAGGGAGAGCGAGGGGTTTGCTCCCCGGGGAATGCACGGGGTGGGACAGGGATGTCTCTGTCTCCCCCCCGCAGCCGCCGTGGGTCGGTGTGGGGCTCGGTGCCAGCTCCTGACCGGCCTCTTCCTTCTCTTTGCAGGAGTTGACGATGTAGCTGCCAGAGAGAGGAGCCTTTTTTGGTGTTTCAGAGCAGAGTCAAATGCAACTAAATTTAAAATTTGTACTATTTCTATCAATTAATAAAAGTTGTGGCTTATTGTTGGTGAAACGCTTTTCTGCTCTCTGTTGGTTTTGCTGCCCTCCCCTTCCCCCGGTCGCCGAGGCCCCAGGGTGGAGCCTTCCTCCCGGGAAGATCTGGGCGATACCCTGTCCCGTGTCCCACCCCAGAGGAAGAGCACCTGCCCCTTCCCTCATTTCCTTCCTGGCCCCAAGGCTGGGCGCCCCCGGGCCCTGGAGCCAGCACCCTCACAGAATCACAGAATCAATCTTCTAGGTTGGAAGGGACCTTAAAGATCATCTTGTCCAACCGTCAACCTAATTTTGACAAAAATAGACACCCCCACAACAAACAAGGAGCATCATCACTAAACCAGACCTCCCAGCACCACATCAACCCGGCTTTTGAACACCTCCAGGGATGGGGCCTCAACCCCCTCCCTGGGCAGCCCATTCCAAGGGCTGAGAACCCTTTCAGGGAAAAAATTTTTCCTAATATCCAGCCTGAACCTCCCCTGGCGCAACTTGAGGCCATTTCCTCTTGTCCTGTCGCCTGTGACTTGAGAGAAGAGACCGACCCCCATCTCTCTACACCCTCCTTTCAGGGAGTTGGAGAGAGCAAGAAGGTCTCCCCTCAGCCTCCTCTTCTCCAGGCTGAACACCCCCAGCTCCCTCAGCCTCTCCTCATCAGACTTATTCTCCAGACCCCTCACCAGCTTTGTCGCCCTTCTCTGGACCCGCTCCAGCACCTCAATGTCTTTTTTATGGGAGGGGGCCCTGGGACATCGAGCTCAGCCCGGGCCGTCTCCCTCTGTAGGTGACAGGAGGGGTCCCCTGTGGGGTGTCACCTCCCTCTTTCCCCTTGGGGGGTTCCCTGCCATCACCCTGAGCTCTTCATGTCCCCATGGCCATGGGGCAGGGATGGATGGGGACACGGTGCACCCTGAGGGACAGGAGACTGGGATCCATCCAGGTCTGTCCCTCCGTGTCACCCTCCCTGTGGCAGAAGGGGCTGCGCTCGGGCCGGGCCCCCCTGGAGCTGGTGGAGGGGGGGATCACCCCCCCAGACACGGTTCTGGTTTGAGGAACCCACAACAATTTATTATTGTTCAGACAATTCATTTCTTCCCTAACGACCCCTCCAGGGAAGGGGAATTGGGAGAGAAAAACCCAAAGAAACCCGAGGGCTGAAATATGAACGGATTTACTAGAATAAGACTTAATTAATAACACTATAGAACCACTGTTGATCCCGATGCCAACAGGAGGACCAGCCCCAGCCCATTCCCAGCAGAAGCCGGTCCCCAGGCACGGTGGGAGGCTCCGGATCCGGGGGGGGTAGGGAAGGGCTGAGGGCTCCGGTACCGGGCAGGGGGGTCTGGGGGTGGCAGCCACCGAGGGGGAGAGAGAAGGCAGGAAACTTCCTAATTTCTATTAAATGTGCTGTTAATGGTATGAAATAACCCTGGTGGGACTGGGTTGGTCTTGGTCTTCCTCCTCCTCCTCCTCCCCGCACCCGGGGGGGGCTGGGAAACACCGGGACCCCGAGTCCTGGCACCGGGACCCCGAGTCCTGGCACCGGGACCCCAAGTCCTGACACCGGGACCCCGAGTCCTGACACCGGGACCCCGAGGCCCGGTACCGGCCGCACTAACTCAGACACCGGGGGCTTCTGAGAGCGCGTTTTTCCCCGGTGTCGGAGGGAGGTCGCCGCTGTGTTCCTCAAAGCGGAC